TCGCCTGGCTGATTTTTTGTATTTTTAGTAGAGACGGGGTTTCACCGTGTTAGCCAGGATGGTCTCGATCTCCTGACCTCGTGATCCACCTGCCTTGGCCTCCCAAAGTGCTGGGATTACAGGTGCGAGCTGCCGCGCCTGACCTGTGTTTATTTTTTTGAAATCAATATTCAATGTCTCTGTTGTTATGACTAAGGTAAAATATTATTTGCAGCTGAGCTCCATAGTGTGTTGATTACATTTCCTCTCCTTTTAGACATTGTATTTATCTCGGTAATAACCACTTCATTTCTTCGTTTACTTACTTTTTGTATATCTGTTACTAATTCATCCCATCCTGGGTATTGCACCTGTAAAACAAATCTCAATACAGGTGATTAGATATCAGGCAATCTGTCGGTTCCTTTTGTTTTTGGAGACGTTGCTCCTGGACCCTCCTGGCTTCCAGTTTTACTCCGCACCACCTGCTCTCTGGATCTACTGCCCAGCCGCCCATCTGAGATTCCCTTCCTGTCATCCTGCGAATTCCTTTGCCTCCTTGCTGTGTTGAATCCCTGTGTACTGGATATGTGGCTTAATCTTCCTTTCATTTTTTTTTTTTTGAGACAGAGTCTGACTCTGTCACCCATGCTGGAGTGCAGTGGCGCAATCTCAGCTCACTGCAACCTCCGTCTTCTGGGCTGAAGCCATTCTCCCTCTTCAGCCTCCTGAGTAGCTGGGACTACAGGCATGCACCACCAGGCCCAGCTACTTTAAAAACATTTCTTTTTTAGCGATGGAGTCTCACTATATTGCCCAGGCTGGTCTTGAACTCCTGGGCTCAAGTGATCCACTCACCTTGGCCTCCCAAAGTGTTGGGATTACAGGCTTGAGCCACCTTGTCTAGCTTCCCTGCTTTACTTAATCCTCATTTACTAGGGCATATTTCCCAGCAGCTTCTTGAGAAAGGGTACACGGAGAATATGAATGACAGAGTTGTTTGTTTGTTGTCTCTAATTCTTCTGAGCTCCTTTCTTTCTTTCAGTTTGATATGTTCTCTGTATTTTCATATTGGAGCGTTTCCCTACATATGAGTTGCATCTTGTCTATTTGTATCTAAAGGGTTTCACTAAAAAGTTCTGTATGTTTGAGTGAGCTTGTTGAATGGGCCTCAAGGGAGTTGAATAGGTGGAGAACTGGACGATTGGTAGAGGGATTCCCAAGTGTCAGCTTGTATAGATTGATGGACCTTTTCTCTTGGCTAGTTTTCCCCAGAGAGAGAATCCAAGTGCCTGCCTGCAGGTTATTAGAGGCAATGTTCTTGGCACTGAATGGGGTTCATATTTCAGCGTGTACACTTCTCCTTAATCCTCATATTTGCACTCCAGCACCCCATTTCTGCTCTCAGCCATACCCAGCTCCTTAGCTTCTTTGTTTCAAGCCCTCCAGGGAGTAAATTTCCAGTCATCTGCAGGAAAGGAGAAGAGGAACTCCTCATAGTGGACAGGGCGGGGAATCTGGGACTTACTCCAGCACAGGCTTATGAGCACCCTCTCGTTTCAGTCTTGCCTGCGTCCCTGTCTTCGGAGGTACCTTCAGTTCCCATTCCTTTCCGAGATTCTTATTTCTGGTTGGGCTCTCCCCTTGCAAGCATCGGGCAGAACATAGAAAGCTGACAACTCAATCAGTTATTATTCGTCCATATAGTTTTCTCTGTCCAAAATGTTGATACTTCTCATCTGTTGTTTTATCATTTGGGTGTTTTTATTTTTTTGTCCTTATTTACACATTTTTTAATTCCTTTACTGTGATTTTAGTGTGATTTGTGGAGGGACTGGAGAAAAGCTTGTAAATTCAAGCTGCCATTTTTAATTGGAACTCTGTACTCATTTTATTTTATTTACTTGTTTGGAGATAGGGTCTCGCTCTGTCACCCATGCTGGAGTGCAGTGTTGCAAACATGGCTCACTGCATTCTCGATATCCCAGGCTTAAGTGATCCTCCGCCACAGCCTCCTGAGTAGCTGGAAGTACAGGTGCATGCCACCACACCTGGCTACTTTTAACATTTTTTGTAGAGATGGAGTCTCGCTATGTTGCTCAGGCTGGTCTCTACACATTTAAAAAAGGCTTTGACACATGTTGTCAAATTACCTACCAGAAAGATCTTGCCTCTGCATTCCCACCAGAAGTCTTTACCCCATATAATTCCTGACCAATATTGGATAATATTTATCCAAATATTAATAAGAATATTTGAAAGGGGTTTTTAAAAAAAACTCAGGATGTTATCCATATGTATCCAACTATAAATTATATTCAATTGTATTTCTGGATTAACTTCTAACATCTTTTCAATGAAAACCTCAACCTCCGGAATGCAACCCCTGGGAGCAAAGAGCAAAGATCTGTCTTTCCTGCTCACAACTATAAATTGCCATCTTCTGGGACAGCGTTGGCCACTCAGTAGGCACTCAGTAAATAATTGTTGAGTAAATGCATTAAGAATGAAGTGGGGGTGCCATGGCCAGCTGCGTCCAAGGGGAATGCCTGTGGCCCCTCCTATTGGGGTCCTCTTCTTAGGTGACTTGTTTTTCACCTGGGATTGGCTTTTCTACTGTGTTAAATCTTAAAGAAGTCTTTTTCTCTCTGTGTGAAACTTCAGAATGACAGTCTGTGGCTGAAATGGACCTACAGACATTTGTTTGACCCTCACAACATTGAAAAACCAGGGAGGGGAGGCCAGTCCCAGTGGCTCACACGTGGAATCCCAGAACTTTGGGAAGCCAAGGTATGAGGATTGTTTGAGCCCAGGAGTTTGAGACCAGCCTGGGCAATATAGTAAGACCCTGTCTATACAAAAAATTAAAAATATAAAACTTTCAAATAAGTAAGCAAGGGTAGGGGAAGGAGATTTCACATAAAATCTGCAGCTTGGGCCGGGCATGGTGGCTCACGCTTGTAAGCCCAGCACTTTGGGAGGCTGAGGTGGGTGGATCACAAGGTCAGGTGTTCGAGACCAGCCTGGCCAAAACATAGTGAAACCCTGTCTCTACTAAAAAAAAAAAAAAAA